TGCTGCACTAAACAGCTTAATATAAAAATCAGTAATCAGAACGTCTTCTTGTAAAAACATTTTTTTTACTACTGGTGCAATTTAATGTAACAGCGTGGCTCTACAACTCTGGGAATTTCCACGAGGTGAGTTGTGTATATTCCTTCACCTGCAGCTGAAATGAAAAGTTGTTTACCTTGATTACTCAGAGCCGGGACTTTCCTCACCTCAGGTGCTCTGCAGTTTATTGGAGCAAACACATAATGATGCCTTTTAATTTCAAAGTTTCAAAGTCTCCTTGACATCAAATGAAGAGCTCAGAATTGAGATGTCAGTGTTACTACTTTAATAAAAGCAGGTTATATGGAGCCAAGATAGTTTTCCTCCTCTCCAGACCATCGATGTGGGGGAGCTACACATCCTCTGCACTTGAATGGTTTTACCATCAGTGGGTTCATATTTTAACACAAATATAAAGTGAAAGTGGCTTCAACACGTCTAACACCTTCAGCAGATGAGGGATTCGTCACGGTAGGGGTCACTGGAAAGGCATTGTTTCAGTTTCAGAGGGTGATTGTTGGTTATGTGGGTGGTCATGGCTCCGAGGACGGTCTCTTTGTGCAGAATGTGTGTGTGCGTGTGTGTGAAAGAAAAGGAGAGAGGTGCTGCCTTTGAGGATGCTCCCTGTGCGATTCCTCTCTCCTCCTCCTCGGACACTGCTTGCTTGTTGTCTCAGTAAACAGAAGGGTCCAGAGATGATCCAAGACAAGCACACAGCCACTGCAGCCCACCCAGGAGCCAAGGTCAGGACCACTAACCTGCACACACTCACACACACACACACTGAATCCACACCGCACATTATTATCCAGGTTGAACCAGGAGTTTTGAGACTGGAACTCATTCACCTTGTTGCCTGAAATCCAGTTTAGAGAAAAGATTAACTTCCCCCAACACTAATGCTAAACTCTCAATGAAAATATGGGAAAATAGCCTATATGCATTTTTGACTTCATATTTCCTTCAGCGGCTTCTCTCTCTGCGTTTTCCATCTCCTGAATCTGCTGTGCTTGCCAGTGTGACACCCCAGCATAAATATTTGAATATTTACACTAGAATGATGATTATACTCGTTGAAATATTTCTGTGACATAATTACCACCTTGTCTCTCAGACTCTGCTGACGTGCACACACAGATACATTCTTCCAGAGGAGTCTCGGGGTATAGGGGGGTAATTATTTCTCACAGGAGTAATAATACCTACCACTTTCACTCTCCTATTCCAGGATGGAGGTCTTTGAAACTCAAGGAGATAATTCCAACCCTTCATCTGCGCCAGAAAGAAGTCCGAGACGGACTGCGCTGTGGAGAACTGATGAGAAAGGGTAAAAATGAAGAGTTCAGGAGGGAAAGATGTGAAAAGGGGGGGGGGGGGGGAGAGAAGGCCGGTGACTCCTCTGACAGCCCAGCGCTCACATATGGCCGGGCTTTGCTTGTATAGCCTCACTTCAAGGCGACGGGCCCTGCAAACATAAACAGTAGAGAGGCTGCAGCTGGAGCAAGGGAGGCAGCCGCTTGCTTACCGAGACTCCTCTACACTAAACAATGGATCAAGTGACGCACAGGCCCTTGGCAGCGCAACAGAGACGCAGGCGGCCTCGGAAAAAAGCCTTTCTTCCTTACGTTTATATCTCAGCTCTCTCAATATTTACCCCATGGGACAACACACACAATTTTCCATTCCTTTTGCTCAGAAAAGGAGCAAAAGGGTTGACCTCCTCCTCCGTCCCCATGTGTCCCTGTTCTGAACAGAACAGGAGAGGACAAGTGTCTTTCTGCGCAAAACGTTTGGGAATGACTGCGTTTTTAAATCACTCCGTCACAGCTGGAGCTGCGTACAGGTGTTGGGAGTGAATGCATTTCAGCTTAAGTTTTGCAGAGACTCAGCTTCT